TCGTCTCTCTCTCTCTCTCTCTCTCTCTCTCTCTCTCTCTCTCTCTCTCTCTCTCTCTCTCTCTCTCTCTCTCTCTCTCTCTCTCTCTCTCTCTCTCTCTCTCTCTCTCTCTCTCTCTCTCTCTCTCTCTCTACTCTCTCTCTCTCTCTCTCTCTCTCTCTCTCTCTCTCTCTCTCTCTCTCGCGAATCAGCGCGAACACACCAACGTCGTCTGTTTACCTATTCATCAGCCACGATCGACCTTTCGATAACGACGAAAATAAAAATTGCAGGAGAACGGAACGCTAATATAATATAATAGGATGAGTAGTAAAAGACTGATACTGGTGGAAATGATAGCAATAAAAAAAATACATAAAGAAGACTGAAATTAGCAATAGAATATACGAGAAATAATATTATATGCGGTGGAAAATTTGTTCATCTTTTTTATACGGCGATTATGGCATCCCTCAGGGTTGAAACCTTATGTGCAACCTTGTAAGGAACATTATATCATGATGCTATAGAATTATAACGATATACAAAAGAAAAGAAAATCGAGGATGTCATACAAATTCGATAGCGAATATTATTATCATGATATTATTGAATGGTATTATAAATGATGTGAAAAATAGAGGGAGGAATTGAAAAAGGAATTGTCTTGCGTGAACGCGATTGAAAAGGGAAGGGATCGATCTTATATATAAATTTCGAAGGCTCGCGTACGCATCCTCGCGGGATGGATTTTACAAGTAATAGCAAGATTTGATGTCATAAACAACTTAGGGTAGGTGCTTATTATTCATCCCTGCGTTTCATACAAATAACATCATGGAAACAAAGAATATCTCTTGTTAATGTACTATTTAATATCTCTTGTCTCAATTATTTATACATTAGAAAAAAAAGCAACTCTCCGAAAGTAAATAAATGATAATACTAATAAATGATAATATAATAAGAAGACAATTGGAGCAAAGCACGTGAATTATAAAGAGAACGATAACGAATGGACGGACAAATAAATTTTCCATATTCATTCGCTTCCGGAACAATAAAATGAAAATGTACAAAATCCAAATATCCAGTATTCAATGCGCCATTTACTGCGTAGTCCAGATACACACACACACACACACACACACACACACACTCCCCCCTTCACGCGCGCGCGCGCGTGTGAAGAAAGAGAAGACGTACCGCGAGGTGACACAAAGGTTGCTGAGAAGGGAAGATGAGAAAGACCAATTTTCAGACTTACTTGAGAAGGTACGCAGGTGAAGCCCTGCGCCCGAGGGAAGTAATAGACTGTCACTGCATCGAACTGGATGTTGCGCTTCTTTTTCACGGGCTCGTCGACGTTGCTCCGTGACTCGTCACCCTCCATGCAATCGGTCAGCCTGCGCTTCAGGTTGCTTTTGGCCGGAAGTGTTTGAAAGCTCGTCAGAGGTAGCTGACCCGGTGCACCAGACGCACCCGAGGACGGCGCATAGCTGTCCAATTGGTTTACGCCTGAAAAACGTGAACGTGAAAAACGTTCGCGTATCAGGAAAATACACTTCTTCTCGAATTTCGAAATGCACAGAAATCACGAAGATGTGATTCAAGACTTTTGCTTGTTGAAAAAGGGAGTGTTGCAAATTCTTTTTCTTCTCATGCAAAATTTTACAAACAACCTTTGTCAGCGAGAAGTACATAGGGCAATGATGATTCTTTTCGATCAATGAAATAGATAATAAAATTTTTTATTCGTTCTTCGAAGTGGATTTTATTGCGATGTGATATTAATTTGAGGCTTAGTTACTGAAATAGAAATCGATTGGTTGACATTTTCGCCGAGGAAAGTTCACGCTGATTTTTATCGGCAACGCTGTGCATTTGCTTTCTGCTTGTTTTAAGACACCCGGTATATTGCGCGTTGACAATCGATGGGAGGCTTATCGAGTTGTGCTTTTCTCATTCGCTTACTGGACAGCTTCGATCAGCTAATGCTGGCCTGGCAAAGAGAATCCTTGTAGAGTCTAAAACTTTCGCGCTTTTATAAGGATAAAAGCTTTTCGAAGAAATCTTCAAGTCGGTTGTCTAATTTAGGATAATTATCCTTGGAATTTTACACTTAATAGCAATCTCTTTATTAAAGATTATTCTACTTTACTAAAAGCTTTTGTAAAGGATAAAGTAATAAGACAATCTTTGTACAAGTAATAATTTAAATATTGAATAATTAAAATATTAAATACTATATGTGATATATAATTATTTACAAACTAAATATAAAGAATACAATATCTCTAGTAATTGATGATGATAAAATAAAAAAAGTTCTTAAAAAAAATAAAAAAATTAAAAACCAGAATAGTGATTCTTAATCACTATGTTTATGATAACAATAATAATCAAAGTTATAATAACCAGAGAGTTATTATTGTTATCATAAGCAACATACACAACATGTGCTAAAAAAATTTATTAAAATCTATTTAAAGACGATTACGGGAAATAAGAATATTCTTTCTCTAATTTAAAGTCCATTTGAATAATTTGTAATTAAATATAAATATTTCTTATAAATATACTGTAAATTTCAACAAACTGAAAATACAATCAAAACTGATAATTTAACACTTTTCCAATATCTTTATCGAAATCAAATAGAAAAAGGCTCCAGATTAACAAGAGGTTGAAAAGAGGAAACGCTTCTTACCTTTCTCCTTGTCGGAGAGGATGTCGTCCGGCAATCTGTCGAGGAAGGATGTCTCCGAGTCGCTTTCCGGTGCGGGCGCTGGTCCAGAGTCACCGGGGATTTCATTCCCCAGACCGGAATCACTCCCGTCGGATCTGACCTCGTCCCTGGCGCCAGTCGCCAAGGCCAAACTCTCAGCAGAGTCCTCCGTATACGCTTCCGGCCGTTCGGCCTCCAATCTCGTCATAATCGGCGCCATCGCTTCCACACAGCACAGAGCGACTCCCTCAGAACAGGGTAGTTGATCGGGCGCCATGTCGACGTCGCGTAGCTCGTGACGAATGCTAGTGATGGGTGATACTTCCGAACTATCAGAGCCGGTTTCCGTTTCTGTCTCGGTATCGACGCCTTCAGCGACTTCTATCGATGCTTCTGGTGCTTCCTCTGGCGAGCTTGGCATCGTCTCCGATGAGTCCAGCTCGTTAGACGCGCGGCTATCTTCAGCCGTGAGCGACGAGCTCGCCAGTACCACCTCCTCATCCTCTTCCAGCTTGCCGATTATCGCTACAGGCGCAGACTCGTCATCTTTCTCAAACTCTTGACTTATGATTCCGTTTTCCTCGGCGTTCTCTCCTTGTGACGAATGTCCCAGGATTTCACCGATTCTCTCCAGCACCACCTTGCACTTCTTCAGGACCAATCCACTATCCGGACTGCAAGTTCCGTTCTCTGTCAGCTCGCATTTCCTTGACCTGGTTATTGGAGAGGAATCGCTTTGCCATCGTTGCTTCTTCGCGTTCTTCTCCTGGGCTTCTTCAGATTCACAAGATTCAACAACCGAATCACGCTCCTCCTCGACGAAATCTCTTCTTCTATTGGAAGGCAAACTCTCCTCAACGACATAGTCCCACATATTCTCAGTGATGTCTCTGTCCATTTGATCGTTCCTTTTCTTTATATCTTTCTCTTCGATACGATTCAGCACAACGGTTAAATTTCGACAAATAGGACTTGATGGTATCGTCGTATCAACAACACACTTTTTCGTCGGAGTGCAAAGCGCACTTTCAGCGTTTGTGATCACGTTTGTGTCTCTGACATCGTCTTGACGCGACTCCGTTGTGCCGTCCAAATCGTCACCTTTCGACAATACAACAGAAGCTACGTCAAGTGTCGTAATCTCCTCCTCGTTGTCGCAATCCATTTTTTTACTCGCGCAATTCGACGTGTCTCCAACGTTGGCGCTGCTCGTGCACTCCAAAGAACTTACACCAATCCTGACGATCGTTTCTTTCTTCTCCTCGCCGATATCCTGCTTCTCACAGTTCCGATCAACATCATGAATCTTGGAATCATTCGTCACAAAAGATTCTGCCGGAACGTCGTTGCAGCTTGAAATTATCCTACCGTCAACATCGTTCCCGAAGAGATAGGATTCCGAGGTCAGGGACACTTCGCCCAGGGTCCTCTCCCGCAGGCTCACTAACACCGGCGACAGCCTCCTAATATCGTTTTTCAGCTGATTCGCTTGCTCCTCCGAGATTTCAATGCCGATCCTCTTGGCCTCCGTACCAATCGGCAAAAAATCATCCGCGGCCGACCTCTTTCTGGAGACGTCCGATGATGTGGACGTCCCTATCTGGCTCTCTTGCACCCCCGAGAACTCTTCGATGTCGTGATTCTGAAACTCAGCCGTCTTCGGCGACTCTTCAAGTTTCTGAAGAGAATCTTCCATCAATTTCGCACCGAACTCGTCCTTCTCGTTTCTCTCGATCTCACTGATTTTCTTCCCCATCCCAGTTAGACCCATTTTTTGCCTTCTTCTCTTCCTCCTCTTCCTGTCCTCTCTCCTGATCCTCCTTCTCCCCGATCTGACCCTTCTTCTCTTCGACTTGATTCTCCTCCAGTTTTGGGAGACAAGGATAATCACTCGATTGTCTTGCTTCGGATCCCTCGGCTTCGGATTTCTCGTCCAATCTCTCGCACATTACCGTCAAGTCCTTACGCGAATCTCGCAGGACGGATGGACGTGCCGCATAGTCATCGTCGTCGATAGTATCCGATATTGCCGTTGTTGTCGTCATTGATGTCGTCCCGTCCGATGTTGACACGTCTTCCGTATCGGCCTCCACTGAGGTGGAATCCTCTTGGGCCTCAACGAAACAGTCCTGACGGGCCAAAGGCGATTCCATCTCGGGTGTTTCTGCCATCTGCAAGCACCAAGGTCAGTTCGGAGATTAAAAGGACAGTTCTACATTTTCCAAGAAATGATTGATTATGTGCTCTTTATGGTATAAGGACAATGTCGTAAAATGTCGATAAACTACAATGATCCCTCTTTATCTCGCGCGTAAATAACAAAGGTTACTAAAATGAAAATATAAAGTCATCTAAATCTTTAGATAAAATGATAATAATGAGAATAATAACTGTGTTATATAATGCATATAATGTGTATAAATATAATATATGCTAATGTTATACATTCACGTATTTTTATATAAATGCGCGCGCATAAATACACATACATAAAAATAAAAAAAAAAAATATATATATATATTATATAAATAAAAAGAGAACAAATTTTTTTTTCTCCAGAGTATAAAAAAAAATTAAACAAGATATATATATATATATATATATGTATATATATGTGTGTATATATATATATATATATATATGTATATACTACAAAATACTGACGAAAATAGAAAACAACTAAGATAAGGTATTGACATATAGATCAGTGCGAAATTATACGATAATAGAGAAATTGAGACCGAAATAACCAACAGAATACAGATTTAATTGGGTCGTTACGTTCACCGGCGGGAACGATTTCCTTTCGCCCCCCTTTCTCTCCAGACGGGCAGATGTATTTCCACCGGTCTTATAATCAGAGATCATTTGCACTGTCCCTTTTTCACGAAAATAACATAAGCAAGTCAGAGAGAGGAACGGGGTAATCAATAATCCGCGCACTGATATCGCGCGCACCGTTGCTACGAACCCAGAAGAGAATGAGAGCGAGCGAGCGAGCGAGCGAGCGAGCGAGCGAGAGAGAGAGAGAGAGAGAGAGAGAGAGAACAGGGAGAGAACATCGATGCGGAGGAAAATCATTTCCCAGAACCTAGCGCAATCCTCCCCCGTTGTCCGAAACCCCTCTTCGATACATTTTTCTTATCGTCTCTGAATTTAAGATATCGCGATGGAGCCTACATATAATCTTGGCCGGAGATTATTGATTCAAAGCCGACCGGTATGACGGCAAAAGGGGGGACAAAGAGAGGCGGCAGGGGGCACCTCCGCGTCAGGGACGAGTGTCGTGCCCGTAAGTTACCCGGGGAGTTATCCGATGGCGGGACCCCCCCCGTTGTAAGAGGGGGAAGCTCTTTTACCTTGAAGTCGCACGATCCTTCCTTCAGCTTGGTCCAACTTTGTGCCCTTCGATTATCCGCGTTCCGAGAACTCGCGATCCGAATCCGAGCCCCGCGATTCGCTCACGCTTCCTGAGGGGAGGAAGTCGTCTTAGGTTGTCTCGCGACTCCGGCTACCACCGTCATCCCGTTCGCGAGGGCCCGCGAGATGCCGGCGATATGGTCCCATCGCAGGACCAGACGCGTCCTCGTGCGAGGGGGACGACGAGCGGCTCGGGCACAACATTCGCGAGGGGCAAAACAATCCGTGGACACGTCCAATCGTGATAGAAGAGAAGATCTACCGGCTCGCCGGCTGTCTCATGGGAGACACGCACGAGATTCACCTCTGAAGAATCACCCGACCGCGTAGCCGGGGGTTTTTTCCGAGAGATGCTCGGGGATTCCGGAGAAGAAATCGACGGATCGTCGAAGAGCCGACGAGATCGATTCCAAAGGAGAAACCGAAGAGCGAACCAACGTGAATGCGGAAGAGGCGATCAGAGTTGACTTGCTTTGCGTGAGACCCCGGCTTGCGGCGCGGAGGAAGAACGTACGAAGAGCCCGAGGAGAGATAGGTAACTGACGAAGTAAACGTCGACGTTGATGATGGCGAAGAGGCGCGACAATGACGATGACGAGGAGTATATCAGAGGGAGAGAAACGATGGGGAACCGAGGTAGTGCCGAGTAGTGGAGAACGACAAGGTAGTGCGGCGCGTTCGACAGCTCGGAGCAGAGTGAGCGGAGGCGGCGTCGGCGTCGTCGCTCGGCGTCATCGACGATGCCGACGCCGACGCCGACGCCGCGCTCTCGTATCCCCTCGGCTCGGCTCGACTCGGCTCGGATGGAAGACACGCCGAGGACGTGTGTGTGTTGGTGAATGCGTAATGGAGTGGTGCACACGGAACGCGCGCCGCGGAAGAACTCGCAGCGGTTCTCAAAACGCACACCCGTTAGAGAGAATTAGTCATTGGCGCTATGGGCCGATCATCTTTCTCGCTCTTTCCGTGATATTTTTAATTTCAGCGACGCGTATCTTTTTTCCTTTTCGCTTGGACAAAGCGCGTACTGTTTCAGTCTAATGAAACTTTGACTTTTGGAGGGACAAATCGCGTTGCGAATAAGATTGTCGAATTAAAGACTGAGGCAGAAGTGACGTAATCGAGATGACGCAGCTGGCGATGGAACGCTTAAACAAAGATCATTCTTGAAAAAGAAGAAATGCGGAATAAATTCAATGAAAAATTCAAAAGCTTTTTTTTATTTCAAAGAAACATTTTTGTGATGTTCTGTGTGATATCTTCAATTAAATCTCCCATATTATATTAAATATGATGCCGAACCTATATTTGAAACTATATTTGTTCTTCGATGTTTTATATATAAAAGTCCGAATTACAATTCTTTTCGATTACAGTCTTGACTGTACAATGCGAATTGATGACAATTCTACAATGATGATGCATTCATTCGCCGTAGGTCTAATTGTGCCAGTGATGCGCGCGGCGCATCAGCATGGAGGAGAGGCAAAGTTTACTCGCGGAGGCAGTGCAGCACCTCCGTACATGATCTACACTTTGCTAATTGCAAGATGCAAGAGAAAATAATTCTAATCGCAAATCATAATTTGTCTATATTAAATTAAATAAAGTCATCGGAGAACTTAAAATAAAAGAAATGGTAAACAATTCGATTATATATAAATAAAGTAATATACGTATAATATATAAGTATATTATATAAATAATAAGCGGAGAAAAGACATATTTTCTAAAAATTTTCTACGTTGCAGTTTTTGCAAAATCTTTCTAAAATTAAACTAACACTCATGCTTTTTTCACGTTGATTTTAAATAAAATAAACATTTCGGTAAAATATTTTTATAGAAGACAAGTAATCCAGCAAACGAAAAGTCTAATGTGCAAACGATATATAAATGATAAATTAAAATGCATCAATAGTATCAATAGATAAATTTCGCAAATATTTTTTTATTAGTAGAGTTTACTGCCTTTGAATTTTGGGATGTTTATCCGGATCCCCTCGGTGTCGTCTTCGGGGTGTCCTCTTTCGCACGGGGATGAAACGAGAGAAGACGGTCATAGGAAACAAAGACCAGAGCGAGACGCATACCAAACACGCACGATAATGATACACAGTAATAACAAAATTGACTGACGTAAGCAAAGCACGTGATGACGTAAGCATACACGGTAAGCGTGACGCCGTTTCTTGCCAATGTCGTCGGCGAAGACTCGCCGGATCCCAAGATATTTCCACTCCAGACCCGAAGCTCCTCCATCCATGATCCTCTCGATCCTCCCTCGGCGAAGAACTTTCGTAGGACAAGCAAAGGACAGCAGGCGGTCAGCTCGATTCTTCGATCGCGATCGATTATCACGCTCTTCGGGGCAGCGACAGCGACCAAACTTTTCAGGGGGGATGACGCCAAGGGGAGAATGCGATAAACGTGATGTTTAAGGAAACGGGAAGCATTTTTCTCCGAGAGCTGAACATTCACAAAAAAAAATCAACTCGCACTTAATAGAGCGATAACACCTCGCTCTGGATGCAGGTCGGTGGTACGCTCTGGTACTGCCACTTTTGCTACCACACACTTTGAAAATATACAGGATCGTGAATACATCCGGAATAACGTTGGTACCGGAATCGGCGATTGTTGCTTGTCTCTCGTTCTCCCTCGCTCTCTACCTTTCTCTGCCCTTCTCTCTCTCTCTAATCTATATACTTTTTTCTTTCTGTCCAACGCACAGAACCGCCGCACACGTACACATGCGCACACGCGTACGTTCACGTACACATTCGAGCGACTCTCACCAACGGTTCAACGAACGAGAGAACGCAGCGCTTGCGCGCGGCGGGCGCCGTAATTGTCGCGAAACTAGAAGGCGCTCCGCGAAACCAGGAGGCGAACGGAGTCTTCTCCGTGGAATTTTAGCGGCCGAAGAGTAAGTTCCTGCCCCGAAGGAGAGCACGGCGGCCCGATGGTCTCGCCCATTTCGCGCGAGACGCCGAGATTTTCGAGGTGTAACGAGAGCTGCGCCAGTTTTGCAGAATTATTGATCGGCGTTCGTGCAAGTATTGATCCGCCTCCGGTTGGTGCAAAGTTACTCGGATGCTAAATGCGCGTGATCATCTAATGTTGGAATTTACTCGATTTATCGGGCGTTACGCAAATTTTGTTCAGAAATGGTTGAATCGGCGAGGGAAGCGTTTTTTTTTTTCCTTAGGGAGGGAGACGATGAGAGCTGCGAAAGTAGAAGCGCGAGCGAAGGCTCATCTTGGAGTCTTAGCGGCGGGGGATGCAATCTTGAAAAACGCGGTCCTTGTGTGTGTGTGTGT